TTTATTTTCAGAACCTCTGCTTTGATTAAAGCCATTTGAGCCTGGAGCAAATACAATGTGTCTGAGTTTTAAGTCTCGCATTTTATACCAGGAGCCCCACTGAAACCTGTTTTTTAATTTTTATACCATGAAGGCAAGCACAACGAGCATTAACCTAACAAGTTAAATGAGTTCCTCCTCAACTACCTGGTTTGGGGCTCTAAAAAAGTCCCGAGTCATACTTTTACTTATTTAGATCCTCTACTTTGCTGCAAAAATATTTTAATTTTATCTATATATCCCCTTTTGCTGCAAATATTATTTTAAAAGTGATGTGTTGGGGGCTGGGTCCCAGGTTAAGAGTGAACCTAGAAACCGCCAAATCAACTCATTTTTATATTCACTAAACTAAAAAGGATTGCACAGTAAATATACAAAACAGAAGTGCTGTTAAATTAGCTAAAATTGGTAGCAAAGGAGATCAGACAATAATTCTCTGTTGGTTGACCAGAAAGCTGCAGTGGCCCTTTCTTCTCCATGAAACCCTGGTTGTGTGGCTCAGAGTTTGCATTCCCGAAATGGTGTTGTTCCGATTTTTTGATGTGAAACCATCAAATCCCTCTGTGTTACTGCATTTCAGGGGAACTTAGTGCTTGAAGGGTGAGGTGCTTTGAGTGTCTGTTTAATCTACTTGGAACAGTGTGGTAGGTTTGTCTTCAAACTCCCAGAGTTTTTGGCTTTACCCTTGACTACACTCCCTGGTGAAGCATTTTCCTTTCATCTCTCTTCCTCTCCCTACCTTCACAGATGGGTCTCAATTTCTTTTCATCAGCTTCCTTTCTCTCCTCCAAGCCTGCACTCTACAAATCTCCGTTCTTGTTGGGCTTTTAGCTTTGCCCCTGTCGCCCTGTGTGTACTGACCTGGAATATCCCATAGGTGGGAGCAGTCACGGGCAGATGTTATTGTACTGGCTTTGCAGAGAAGCATACACGGGGCTGCAGCTAATGACAGAATGTCTTACAGGGGATCATGTCCCTGTGTATTGGGAGCCAGGTCATAGGACATGTACTTTGTATATATAGACACCTCATGCATCAAATCTCTCTTGTTGTAGATAATATCTAGTCAAGTACTCTTAGATCAGTAGATAATATTCCACTGATCCCCTTGTGTTTATTCCTAACCACTGATTTATCGAATGGAAGCTCTCAAGCTTTGTTGGGGCTATTAGCACTCCAGAGACTTTCCATACCCCTCAGGGCTAAAGGAGGCTTTTCATGGTCTTTTCCCCAATAATTAAAAAGACATTTTTTTTTGGTTAATCCTCACCCGAGGATATTTTTCCATTGATTTTGAGAATGGAAGGGAGGGGGAGAGAGAGAGAGAGTGAGAGAGAGAGAAAGAGAGAGAGAGAGAATTATCGATGTGAGAGACACATCAGTTGGTTGCCTCCCACACGAGCCCCGACCAGGGCCATGGATCGAGCCTGCAACTGAGGTATGAGCCCTTGACCGGCATTGAACCCAGGACCCTTCAGTTCAAGGGCTGACACTCTATCCACTGAGCCAAACTGCCTAGGGCTCCCCAAGAATTTTTGAGCACCACTTTGACATCCTAAATAGATAAAGAAACATTAGCTTGAGAACAAAGTTGTCACTGTAGGCTTTGTATATTCCTGCTCTGGACTCATGCACATTAAGCGGTGGCTTACCTTTGATTTGGGATGTGGAGAGCTGTAGGTGTGGGTGTGCATGATAGTCACATATCTATAAAAATGTTGCTGCGTGCCTTTTTTTTGCAGATCAGTTTTAAATCTTTACACAGTGTAGCTGCATTTTAATTTCGATGGAAGAAGTCCGTGAAGTTTAATTGCCTCTACTAGGCCTGGTTGAGTGATCAGCAAGTCAAATGATTAATTTCCTACTGAACAGAGACAGAGGGGGAGGGATTCACAAGGAGAACCCCGCAGGGCCTTGGTTCTTGCCCTGAATATCCTGGAGTCCTCCGGGGCCCGAGGCCTGTGTGGCCCAACACATGCAATTTTGCTAGTCAGTGGGCCATGCTCTGAGGAGAGCTGAGTGATGGGATAATTAGAACCAAGCCGACGGCGGGGTGGATGGTATGTCTGCAGCTAATAGCTTGTTTGCTAATTGCCAACACCAGATTTTCTGGGTAATTAGACATTTGGTTTCTTCCAGGACCTTCTGTGCAAACGTGGACACATGGCTGTAGGCCTTCCAGGTAGCAGGTGGGGAGAGGGTGGCTCCAGTGCAAGATGGCATCTCTCTGCTGGCTGCCCCAAGGGCCATGGCAGGGCAGACGTCTCCCCAACAGGTGGACAGGGCCATCTGGCTGGACCCCTAGTGGAGAGGCCAAATCCCCCAGCTTTTATAGCAGCGGATGCCCCTGTGCTAGGAGATCAGCAAAGAAGGCAGAGGCCAGCAGGCTGGTCCAGGAGCCTGGCTTCTATCTCCATTCTCCTTCCAAGAGCACTGAGCTTTGGGTGCTAATAGGAATCAGAAATTGCTTCCCCTCTCAGATGGGCAAGTTGATTTTTTTAAATAAAAAATATTTGTTGTGGTAAAGTAAAATAAATATAATAAATATAAGATGTAAGATTTGCCATTTTAACCATTTTTAAGTGTACAAATCTTTGGAAATAATTACAGTCAGTATTGTGTAACCATCATCACTATCTGTTTCCAAAACTTTTTCCTTACCAATATAGAAACAGTACACGCTCTGTTCCTGCCTCCTTCCAGCTCTGGGTAACCTCTAATCTACCTCCTGTCTCTATGAATTGGCCTTTCTAGATATTTCATATAAGTGGAATCACGCTGTATTTCACCTTTTGTGCCTAGCTTATTTCACTTAGCATAATGTGTTCTAGATTCATCTATGTTATGACATGTATGAGAATTTTATTCCTTTTTACAGCTGAATAATACTCCATTATAAGGATATACCATGTTTTGATTATCTATTCATCCATTGGTGGATTCTAGGTTCTTTCTACATTGTGCTTATTGTGACTGCAATGACATTCACATACAAGTATCCGTTTGAATCCTTGTTTTCAGTTCTTTGGGGCAGATACCTAGGAGTGGAATTGCTGGGTCATACGGTAATTCTATATTTGACTTTTTGAGGAACCACCAAACTCTTCCCCAGTGGCTGTGCTATCTCACATTCCCACCAGATATATATGAGGGTTCCGATTTGTCCACATCCTTACCAACATTTGTCATTTCTGTTCCTTTTTTATGATAGCCATCCTCGTGGGTGTGAAACAGTATCTCATGGTGGTTTGATTTCCATTTCTCTAACGATTACCAATGTTAAACATCTTTGTTGCCATTTGTATATATTCTTTGGAGAAATGTCTGAGTCCTTCGCCCAGCCAGTTGATCTTTTTGCCTCTGCACCTTTCTCCCCGCGGTTGGAATTGAGCCTCATCAGGAGAGGGGAGGTGGCTGTGCAGAGTGGAAGCCTCACGTTCACTCTTCAATGATTCATGCCGTTCCCTCAGCCCGATCGGCACCCACGGCCATGATGCTGTTTGAGTTCTCACCAAGCAGGAAAAAAGAATCGGCAAGTGCGTGGGATTACCCAGTGGTTGACAGTGGAGGCCGAGGGAGCCGCTCCCGGTCTCCTCTTGAAGCAGACAGGCCCTTCTCAGACACCCCACACCCTCTGGTTGCCTTGAGCACAAGTTTCATTTTAGCAAGTTACCATTTTTTCCTCCCGGGTACTAGGCTGTGTACCGAGTGGAGCCATATTTGTAGAGCACCCCGGGTGGCGCCTGGCATTTGTAGGTGCCCAGGGTCGGGCATCGTCTCTGCAGTGAGAGCCCACAGTTCTTGATCTGCAGCCCTGCCAGTCCTGGGCAGCGGGAAGGGACAGCCGTGCAGAGCCTCCGGCACTGACCGGGCACAGTGTGACTTCTCCTTGGGTGCTCACTTCTGGGCGAGAGCCCCTGGCTGTGCCCAGGTTTCAGGACAGATATCCGCGCCTGAATAATGGCAGGAGCAGCCGGGCAGTTGGCAGAATGATGTTCATGCGGCTTCTCTGGAGGCCCTTCTCCGGTTTGGCCTCGAATCTGTGGTGGGGCCTGTCTTCGGGGCCCAGGAATGCTAGCCTACCTGTCTTTCTGCTGTGGATTTTCTTACTGAAAGTCAATACCCTTCAGTGTCACGGAAGAGAGATGAGGTCCCCATAGGCTGGCGGGGTCTCAAGCCCGAGGGAGGCAGGAGATGATGCCTCCACCAGGAAGGAAGTTCTTTCAGGAAGGTGCGCTCTTGGCCTGTATTCCTACGTGAGGGGTTGTTCCTTTCGGGGTAGGGTCCCCCAGCCCGCTGGGAACCGGAGGGCTGCGGATACTCTTCCTGGAAAGTGCACATGAAAGTTCGCAAGTCATTTCAGGTGGAGGTTCCTCCCATCCACATGGAGGCTGGTTAGGAGATGGCTCTGCGGGGGCAGGAGCCAGGACTGGGGCGATCTGGGCACTGGCAGACGCCCTACTAAGTGGCAGTTGGATGGCACCTACTGAGAGGACTGCGGGTGCCTGGGAGAAAAGGAATGTCTTATTTGGTCAAGTTTTATTTTATTATTTTATTTTTATTTACTTTTTGTTAATCTTCACCCGAGGATATTTTTTCCATTGATTTTTAGAGAGAGTGGAAGGGAGAGGGAGAGACAGACAGAAACATTGATGTGAGAGAGACACATCAATTGGTTGCCTCCCGCACGCACCCCAACCAGGGCCGGGGAATCTGTAACCAAGGTATGTGCCCTTGACAGGAATTGAACCCGGGACCTTTCAGTCTGTGGGCTGATGCTCTATGCACTGAGCCAAACTGACTAGGGCTCATTTGGTCAAGTTTTAAATACTAAATGTAAGGGGGTGCTGACACCTGAACTTTGTGGCTGGGGTCAGCCTGGCCACCACGCAGCCTCGCTCCTGCTCGCCGGGCCGGCCCCTACCACCGCTAAGGAACATGCTTTGTCTTTCTCTTTCCAGAAACGGCCCCCACGTCTGCATACTCATCTCCTGCCCGGAGTCTCGGGGACACGGGGATCACGCCTCTGTCCCCCTCCCATATCGTGGTAAGACGTGTACATGTGTGTGGGAGTGTGTGCTCATTATCTTGGCTTTGTGGGTCTGTTCGCATGAGGAGGCAGCTGAGCAGCCCGTCATGTTCCTGGGTGGAGATTAAGTGGTCCTGGTACCAGCCATGTGAGCCCTCCCGAGTCCTTGTCCCACTCTGGGCCTGTGTGGCTGGTGCCGTTGGAGCCAGTGGCCTGGGTGGCAGCATGGGCAGGCAGGTGGGGGCAGCCCTGAGGGGACAGGACTCATCAGGGTCATGCGTGGTTATGGCAGGACCCGGCAGGGCCCCTGGCATGTGGAGCCCTGCTCCCAGGCCTGACACACGGAGCAGGTGAAGTGCTCACCTGGGAGGTGCACGGACACAGCTGGGAAAGCCCTTGGGGCAGTGGCTGCAGGTCTGCATGGGGACTTGGAGAGAACAGTGGGAGGAAGGCTGTCACTCAGAACCACTGGGCTCCGGCCCTGGTGGTGGTGTCCGTAATAGCCACGCGCATACACAGTTGATAAAGGGGAGTGGTGGCAAGCTGTGGGCTTGGCCCTTCACTTAGGGGCGCCTCCCTGGGCTGAGGCTGGCCTACCCTCTCCCCAGGGCTTGAGCCAGACAGCGACTGTCCTGGGCAGTGGGTGTACAGCGGGGCAGGGTGGGACCACCTGGGGCATCTTCCTGAAAGCCAGGCGTGGCGGACCCCCTCCCCAATACCTTACTCGGTGCCTCTGCAGAACGATGCCGACTCGAGCGTCTCGGAGCAGCAGACGTTTCTCGTGGTGGTGGCCATCGACTTCGGGACCACGTCTAGCGGCTACGCCTACAGCTTCACCAAGGAGCCGGAGTGCATTCACGTGATGAGGCGAGTGTTTGGGTGGGCAGGCGCAGGCGCTGGGCCCTGGAGTCTGGCCCAGCTCGGCCCAAACTCACTGTGCCACTCGGGGCAGCCACTCTGGTCTCTGGGCTGCAGGGTCGTGGTCCGTGACAGTGTTGGTTTATTCTGACTAGTTGGTCTGGGAAGAGCATGGCTGGTGCATTTGAAACCTGTCCCGGTGACTCCGGCGTGCAGCCTTGGGGGAGAGGTGCCCACTTACAGGTGTCTGTGGTGGGCACTTAACTGTGGGAGCTTAGGCAATTGCTAAACCTTCTAACCCTCAGTTCCCTCATCTGTGAAATGGGGAGACTGACCATACCTGCCTCGCAGGCTATGCGTGCAGACGAAGTGAGACTTCCTGTCAGTGTAAGCGGGAGGTGCCAGCTCTTCTGGGTACGGAAGTGTCACGGGTGACGTGACCAGAGCAGAAAGCACCACGCCTGAGAGGAAGCAGAGCGGGAAATGGCAGCCAAGCGAGGGGTCACCTGAAGTTGCCCTGGGTCTCCTGGGGCGCGCTCTCAGGACACTCCCTGTGTCCACCCCATGCTCACAGCGGCCGGCACACTCTGGTGCCCACCGTGTCCACACGTGACCGGCTGTCTATGAAGATTCTGGTCTGTCCAGCACCAAGGCCTGCTCCCCCGGTCTGGGCCTGGCCTTCCCGCAGTCTTCAGCCCCCGAAGCTTTGGGAGCCAGGGACTGATCACCCCAATTTTCCAAAGTCAATATGGCTCTGAAGATACATTGTGATTGGCAGTTCCCTTCGCTGGTAGTTGTGGAATTTAGTTATCGCTTCAGGGTAAGATTTTGGGCATTTTTTTAAAAGTGCGGTTGACAAGACAAGTTGTAATAAAAGTAATCCCCACCCGGTTTGGGTTAGGCCCCGCCTTTCCTCTGGAAAAGCAGCTGTGACTCAGCTAAGGGACCCGCACTAGGAGGCTCCCGAGACCCATGGTGTCACCTCATCTCTAGGAGACCCCGAGGCAGCACGGCCTGTTGAGCCAGGATCCTGCCTCCGATTGGCCAGACAGGCATAGGGTCTGCCTGCTCCGCCGTCTCCGAGACGGAAGCCCCGAGTGGAAAGAGCACGTGTTAAAAGCTGGAATCAGTGCTGGTCAGTGTCTCCGCAGTTGTCTTAAGAAATGCTATTCCAGGAGGTGGTCATGCAGTGAAAGCGGGGGAAGGAGCAGACGTAACTGAACTTGCTGGGGAGGAACCTCCTAAACACGGCCGCGTCCAGGGCCTCAGAGATGTCATCTTAGTTGTAGGATTTGGAAGGAGGTTCCTCCTGAATTTTGCTTCAATCAGAACATAGGACATAACCGCGGGACAGACGGACGGAGCTGTGAATGAGAAGGTTAACTTACTGTATTTCAGTAGGAAGGAAGGACTACAAATGGAGGGGAACGCTCGATCGGGCATTTCTGACACGAGTGTCCTGTTGACAGTAATGGGAAGCCCTTTGTGAAAGGTGGTGTGTGGGTGCTCCCCTGGCCAGTGCCCAGTGCCCAGTGCCAGCCCAGGATGGTGATCAGCCCTATGTCTCGGGGGTCACACGGGACTTAGCTCCCTGGGTAGGGCCTGCTCCCCGCTGGAGCCTGACTGGGAAACTGCCAGGCACGAGCCCAGACCCCTCTGGACGGCAAATGCAGGTGGAGGCTGGCTCTCCATCTGGACGTGATGGCCCACCGGAGCTTAGCAATGCCGTCGGGGAGCAGGTGTGAGCTCGGCCAGGAGCGCAGCCACCTCCCCAGGCAGCCAGGGTGCGAGGTGCTTCCCCTCCTGTACGCTGTCTCCACGTTCACCCGGACTCCCCGCTCCCTGCAGCCTCCCTGTCCAGGCTCCTGGTTTCTGTAAAGGGCACCTTCTCCTCCAGTGCCCACACTTGCAACCTCGCCTCGAGGACGCCTCGGCTCCTGCTCACCACGGTGTCCATTCAGCTCGGCGCTCCTCCAGTGGTTCTCAACCTGTGGGTCGAGACCCCTGAAAATACATCCTGCATATCAGATATTTACATTACGATTCATAACAGTAGCAACATTACAGTTATGAAGTAGCAACGAAAATAATTTTATGGTTGGGTCACAATATGAGGAACTGTATTTAAAGGCCAGAAGGTTGAGAACCGCTGCTCTAGACCATCCATCCCCACTTCCTCCCCGCTCCCCGCTCTCTCTTCCTTGGCTTTCCACCTCTGCTCCCAAGTGAGGCCTGAGCTGCCTCCTCAGCCTCCCGGCTTCCAGCCTCCCTCCTTTCGTCTGGCTGGCTCGGTCAGCAGCAGCGCTGACCCTGGCATGCCCCTGCTCTAACACCTTCCGTGGCTCCCGTCACTCACCATTGAATCTCTCCTCAGTTCTCTTCAGCCTGGGTCCCACCTCCTTCCCAAAGTCGCTTCTGACACTTCCCATTGGTACAGTCACTCTTCTCACACACCTGTTCCCCAGCCCACACACGCATGCCCACGCCGGCCACCTCTGAGCAGCCTGCGTGTCCTTTCCTCCTTCGAGGTCCAGCTGTCTGTCGCCCCTCCGAGTTTCTCCTGAGCCCACAGCCTCCCCCCTCCACCCCCTCCAGCTGGCCCCTCTGCCTTCTCTGACCCTGGAGCCCTTCCCTGGGACTTCAGAAGAAGGTGCCACAACCTCTGCCTTTCCTTGGCGGCAGGCGGTGGGAAGGAGGTGACCCTGGGGTGTCCAACCAGAAGACCCCCACCACCATCTTGCTGACCCCCGAGAGGAAGTTCCACAGCTTCGGGTACGCTGCCAGGGACTTCTACCACGACCTGGACCCCAACGAGGCCAAGCAGTGGCTGTACCTGGAGAAGTTCAAGATGAAGCTGCACACGACTGGGGTAAGCGGGCCTCCCCCGGCCCCAGGTCCTCGGCATCGGAGAGCCGGGGTCCCTCCGGCCTTGCGGGTGTGGGGACTTTCCAGCCCAGGGACCCTGGGGTTCCTCCCAGGCAGACATTCACGTCCATTGACCTTGATTTTAGAAATGACCTGAGCACCCAATGCGTTCGTGGAACACACAGCACTTTCTGATGGACACGTGGGCGGGGAGATGTTGAGACTATTTAACGGCTTGTTTGCCTGGGAAACTGACCAATCAGAGTGGATGCTGAGAGGAGCGTAGGCCTAGGGCAGTGATGGGGAACCTTTTGAGCTCGGCGTGTCAGCATTTTGAAAAACCCTAACTTAACTCTGGTGTCGTGTCACATATAGAAACTTTTTGATATTTGCAATCATAGTAAAACAAAGACTTATATTTTTGATATTTATTTTATATATTTAAATGCCATTTAACAAAGAAAAATCAACCAAAAAAATGAGTTCGAGTGTCATCTCTGACACGCGTGTCATAGGTTCGCCATCACTGGCCTAGGGAGCTGGGGACCCAATGATAGGAGGCCCCCTTCAGTTGCTGGATTACTGGGAGATTAGGGGATCCTGAAGGAGGGACGTGGGGACGGGGCCTTTGGGGGGATGAGGGCAGTGTAGCCAGTCCAGAAGGAATGAGTGGCCCCTTAACCCTCTGTGTGGGGGAGGGGCAAGCTCAGGAAATCAAGTGCCCAGCAACTGGCGGCCCGGCTCCCGGGGCAGGGCTGCTCCCGACACACTGTCCAGGTCAATGACAGCCTCCCCCTCAGGCTTCATGGAAAAGGCTGGGCCAGAGGAGAGAACTGTTTCCGCGTAAACACGTTATTCCGTAGAGATTCAGGATGGCGATGGTGTGTAAGGCCAGGACTCTAGGGCAGGCAACCTGGGTTTAAGTCCGGCCTCGGCCCCTTCCAGATGCTTAGTCCCAGTCCCTGGTCTCTCCGTGCCTTGCTTTACCTTATCCGTGCAGTGGACACACTGACAGTGCCTTCGCCATGGGGGTTTTGTAAGGAGAAGAGGAATCAGAACACGCAGAGCTCTGGAGCCATGTAGTACTTCTAAGTCCAGTCAGTTCTAGCTCCTCTGAATGCTTTCATTTGTCGCTGTTACGTGTTTGCAGATGACAAAACAGGTACTAATGGGAAACCCTGCCACCAGCACCCACTTCCCAGGGCTCAGTGCTCTTGGGGTGATGGTCTCTCTATGAAGCAGACAGGCTCCTGCTAGAAACGCAGCCCCCCTTTTCGCCTGAGGGGAGTCAGTGCTTGCGCTTCAGCTTGCGCAGGTGGACACAGGAATTTTTAAAATTTGGAGCCTGTGGCTTCCAGGTGCTCGGCCACGTTTCTGAGACGGGGAGCCGCCGCCCAAAAGCTGGGGTGTCTTTCTGAGCATCTGGGGAGGGAAGTGGCAGGCGGGGAGGAGGGACTTGTGCAGATGGGTCCAGATGACTGACAGGCTTCACGAGGCTGGTTTAGCGGCTCGATGCCCCCTCACACTCCAGAGGCAATGCCTGATTGCCCAGCAGGATCGATCCGGAGTTCCCGCTGACTCCCCAGCAGTAATGAGCCTGGTGGTTCCGGATGCTCAGGGGCCCTCTCTGCCCATCCCCACTCTGGGGGACGTTTCTCCTCATTGTTGAATGACCCCAGTCCATACAGCATCCGCAGAGCATCCTCCACCCGAGGACTGCACTCACACCTGCTCCGTTCCTGGCAGGGAAGCGAGGCGCGATGCTGGGCTCCCAGTGGATCAGGCTGCAGAGCCTTAAAATAGGAGCTCTTCTATTTTGGGGACTTGGTTGGCAGCTCACTGGGGAACGAACGCTTCATGTCTGTTCAGCATCGGGCATGTCAGTGAGTTGGCATGATTATGTAGGCTTCCGTGCGGGCTCTGAGGGTGACCATGTGTGTCCCGAGTGCAAATAACATGTAAATTGCACCAGCGGTGCCTGCTGCCTTTCTCTCTTCCTGGGCTGTGGCTGCCCTGAAACCTCGCTCCCAAAGGATCCGGGAGGGAGGGAGGGAGGAGGGAGAAGCGGAGGTGGGGCCGAGGGGAGCAGCCAGGGCCTCCTGCACAGTGCAAGGACATTGCTCCAGGCCTGTTTTGGGGAACTCGCATCCTGGGCTGCCTCTCACACATTGGGAAACACAAATATGGCCACCAGCCGTGCCCCCCCGCCCCGCCCCCGCCCCCCACAGCTGCAGGCAGCTGTCCCTGAAGCTCGAAGTCCATCTCTCCTTGTCTTCTTACTGTCTCCTTCCTCTCCCTGCCAGGACCTCACCTTGGATACAGACCTGACAGCAGCCAACGGCAAGAAGATCAAAGCCCTAGAAATCTTTGCTTACGCCCTGCAGTACTTTAAGGAGCAGGCGCTGAAGGTAGGACACATGGAGGTGCCTGTGGGGGTGGGGGGTGCACCCGCCACCTAGGTTGTGCCTGGAGGGAGAGAGCAGATGTGCCCTCCTAACTGCAGGGGGGACTGGAAAATGGCACAGCCGCTGGGAAAACAGTGTGGCCCCTTGAACCAGGAGGTCGAGGTTCGATTCCCGGTCTGGCACATGCCTGGTTTTTGGGCTTGATCCCCCGTAGGAGACATCATTGATGTTTCTGTCTCTCCCTCTCCCTTCTTCTCTCTGAAATCAATAAAAATATATTTTTTAAAAAGAAAAATTCCATGAAGAAAGCTGCTCAAGGAGATTTACAGGAGCGAGGCCTTCACAAGGGGCGGCCTGGCATTGAGGGGCGGGTGGACGTGCATGGTGGTCTCGTTCATGAAGGAAGCGAGCGCAAGTGCGGGACAAGGGAGACGTCCCGTTAATGTCAGGATCCTTCCCCTCCCAGCTGTCCTCCAGCGGCTGGTGGAGGCGGATCTAAGCAACTTCCCCTGCAGCCAGGGAAGCCATCATTCAGGTCCGACTCTTCCTGCTCAGAGTCTAAAATGGTCTGGGTGGCGGTAGGTGTGCTCAGAATCCTTCCCAACACTCACACGCTCACCTGCTTTAACGCCCAGGGCAGACCCGCAAGGAAATAACACATGATTAAAAAACAACAACAGAAAAACAGAAACAAAACCCCCAAATCGGCTATTTCATGGTGGCCCAAAGCGGGGAAAAAGAAAAAAGTTTGCTGAATACACTTAACACTACCGAACTGTAAAAAATAATACATTTTGTCATATGTATTTTGTCACAATTAAAAATGAAAAAAAAAGAAGCTTACAGATCATAGAGGAAGTTAGTTCAGTGAGAGGGTGGGTCAGTCCCAAGATAACCATTTGAAACAATAGGGAAACTGTGACATCCACCAGGAAAAACAAAAAAATCACCAGCCGGTTCCTCTGAGCCACGTCCACGACGCTGACTCTGGTGCAGAGGTGCCTGGTGTGCGTTTCGCTTTGATTTCAGGTCTGTCTGGTGACCGTGGCGACAGGAGGGGAGGGGAGGAAGGAAGCAGCATTTATCAGAGGTCTTTTCCGTGCCAGACGTCCCACGTGTGTTCTCATTTAATTTTGCCGCTTATGCCGGGGGTTAGTTTTATTCTCCCCATTTTACAGATGGAAATACTGAGTCGGCACCATGCTAGAGACATACTTTTGTCTACGTGGGCCAGGTGGAAACCTCTGAGGCTTCTGCCCATCCCCTTTACCCACATGGTGTAACCTTGACCTAGCGCTAAGGACAGCATGGTTCTCGCTTAGGCCATTTACATCCTTCCTGTCCCACCAGGAAAATCCCCTCACGTGCTGGGTTGGAGGGGAGGAAGATGACAGTGACAACTCTGACAGTTGCCACCAGACATTGTTCTAGATACGAGACCACGTGTCGCAATTTAGTTAAGACATTGGTCTTTAGAGTCAAGATAGACCTGGGGCTGAGTCCAGATTTTGGCTCTGCCCCCTTCTAGCTGTGTAATCATCAGAAAGACAGCATATCGAGCCTGAGTTTGCCACCTGCAGGAAAGGGGCACAGTTATAATCTCTCCCTAACAGCATTCGTGGAGGGATTACTGCAGATGAGGTATAACAGTGTTGATGCAGGGTGAACTCTCAGTAAATGGAGCCACGTCCGCCTGACCTGCCGCCCTTTCCTTGGCTGTAGGAGCTGAGCGACCAGGCGGGTTCGGAGTTCGAGAACTCTGATGTCAGGTGGGTCATCACGGTGCCTGCCATCTGGAAGCAGCCCGCCAAGCAGTTCATGAGGCAAGCTGCCTACCAGGTGAGCGCTGGGCGGGAGCGGACGGGGCCCGGGTGCCCATGGTGGTGACCGTCACCCCCTCGGGTGTCCAGCGTGCGTAGGCCTCCTTGGGAGGCAGCCGGGTCTCCCGCAGGCAGGGGCACCAGGAGCCTTCCCGTTCCTCAGCTGCCTCCCGGGGGAGGAACGGCTCAGACTGGCAGGGGAGGGGCGTTGCGCATTTCCAGGTCCTGTTGCCACGGTGGGGTCCCTGGGCTAAGATTTCAAACTGGGGCTCGGAGGCACGTCACTTACTCGAGACTTTCAAGTAAAAGGCTTGGAAAGCAAGGAGATTTGGATGAGAAAGGAGTAAAGACAAGGCCCATGGTATGAACCGGGCACCCGCTTGGTGCCGGGGCAGAAAGCTGTGCAGGTGCAGCCAGGGCATACTGGTCCATTTCCCTCTGCCCGCCTCACCTGTGAACTCACAGGAGCACGCATGGTCGCCCCAGAGGGGTGAGGGCTGTCGCACCTGCCCGGTGGCAGACACCTGGATGAGGGCAGGGCATGGCTAAGGAGCATGCCAGTCAACACAGCGCCATGGAGACGGCATTCCAGGGCCGATGGCCAGCCCATCCCTTGGGGGCGCCTGGCCCCCCCTCCACGCGCCCCCCTTTCTGCTGGTGCCTCAAACTCTCCCAGCCTCCAGCCCTCACGCGGTTGCAGACAACTGTGTTGGGTCAGGGCTTCCATGAGAGCCTGACGTCCTGGCAAGAAAGGCTGGTCCTGCCGATCTGTGTCCTAATCCGAGGGCACAGCTGGCTCCTGCGTGTTTACTGCCTCCCCTGGGCCCTGAAAGCCACCCTGGGGCTCGGCCAACTCTGTGCCCTGGACGTCAGTCTCCACAGGCATCCACCCGAGCCGGGCGGGGAATGCCACCAGGGATATAGGTGTCCTTGCCCTCCGCCAGGGGACTTACCTCCGACGCTGAGTTTGTGGCCACAGGGACGAACCTTTCCTGTCAGACATCCACCGCATCCGCCCTGAGCGCAGCAGGGTAGTAAAGTGGGCACCCCCCCCCCCCCAGCCCGGCATCATGGACTGTACTCCACACTCGGGGCTTCACTCCAGGGGCAGGTAGAGTCAGGCCAGTGCCCCCTCCCCGCCTCACCCCGTCCCGCCCCAGACTGTCTCTCTCCTTCCTCTGCTCAGCGTGAGAATCTGGCCCAGCCTATGTGTCTGCCAAAAATAGACTTGTTTTCATAGGGATGAAGGAAGAGGGTGGAAGTTCCAAAAAGAGGCAATCCTTTAAAAAGAGAGAAGCCCAGGCGCACCTCAGCTGCCACAGAAGCCCGGGCGGCCTGGGCTGTTCCGTGGCCGTGGAAGTGGCCTTGGGGCCGTGTCCAAAGACAGGCCCCGGGAACGGCTGTCTACGGCGACACGGCCCCGTGTCTGGTCTGAGTGTTCCCAGGACGGACACTCAAGCTTCATGGTTTTGACCCTCATTTCCAGCCCACAGGACGCCTCCAGCAACAAACGTGTGACCCAGAAAAGGGTCAGCTCTTATTTTTAGCCTGAAAACGAAAGAGGCGCAGTGACCAGCAGATGTGTCAGGGCTGTTAGAGCTGGGTGGGGGGCGGGGGGTGGGGGGGGCCTCCTCCAAGGACAGCATCTCTGAAGGCGTGGGGGTGGGGGCTGGAGGCAGCGACGGGGAGGGGAGAGGCCCTGGGGCAGCTGAGGAGGAAGGAAATGGGGGGTGGGGTGGGGGTGGCATCCCCTGGGGTTTGGCACAATCAACATGGCACCTCAGAGAGTAGATGGCCACCCGTCCCGTCCCGAGCAGTGTGACCAGCATCCTTGGACGCAGGGAATTCGCTTTCTGAAGCCAGAGACCCTCTGCAAACAGGCCCGTCTCCTCAGTACCGGGGAGCTTTGGTTTGGTGCCGCGATTGCGCAGTGTTTTTTAAATCCTCACCAAAGGATATGTTTTGTTTTGTTTTTTAAATTGATTTTTTAGAGGAGAGGAAGGAAGAGAGAGAGAAAAAAGACAACAGCAACACACTGATGTGAGAAACTTTGATTAGTTGCCTCCCATACACGACCCAACAGGGGATTGAACCCACAACCTAGGTATGTGCCCTGCCTGGAAATGGAGCTTGCAACCTTTTGGTGTTTGGGGTGATGCTGTCACCAACCGAGCCACCTGGCCAGGGCCGTGCAGCTGAAGTTTTGACCCTTTGAAATTCTGATTTGATACTTGTGTCCAGTTTACAGTCAGCGAGTGGATTTGAAGATGGCAGGGGCCGTTCAGTCCCTGCTCACTCAGTCATTGACTCATCAGACAAACCTGTGCCGGGAGTGTTCTATGTGCCAGGGCTGGGCGAGGCCCTGGATTCATACCTGTGCCCTGTGTGTCGGAGCCCGGCCCTGCTCTCAGGTAGCTTGCGGCCCAGTGGTGCACTGAAACCTCACACTTCTGGGGGGCAGAGGGCGTGCAGGGGCACAGCTGCCTTGCTGACTTCTCTGCGGTCTCTCCAGCCTGAGTCCCAGTGACAAAGTGGAAATGAAGCTTGCTAACCTGTGACCAAAATGAGCATCTCTCCAACTCTCCCTCCTCACTGCCCCCCATTTAGTCTATGGAATAAGAAAGATGTGCACCGTGATGGTTAATTTTCTGTGTAAACTTGACTGAGCCAAGGGGTATGCAGATATTTCTTCAAAAGTCATTCTGAGCGTTGCTGTGAGGGTATTTTGGGACGAGATTAACCTGTAAATCAATAGCCCGAATAAAGCAGATTGCCCTCCCTAAGGGGGGGTGGGCCTCACCCAGTCAGTGGAAGGCATGAGTAGAACCTACCTAGAACAATAGGGAATTCCTCCCGCCTGTGGCCTTCAAACGGGGACATTGGGTTTGGGGTTTTGGGTGTTTTGGATTTTTTTGCCTTTGGACTTGAACTGAAACATCTCTTCCTGGGTCTTGAACCTGCCAGCAAGGGAACTAGACCATGATGGGCTCTCCTGGTCCTCCAGCTTGCTGCCTGCAGACCTCGGGACTTGTCAGTCTCCATATTCATGTGAGCCTCTCATTGTCATAAACCTCTTTCTACACATCCATACACTGGATTCTCTGGAGAGCTCCAATACAGAAGCTGAGCAAAAAGCACTTCTTGGCCCAGCCAGCTTCTGAGATGCAAGAGTGCCCATCAACCCTCCCACCCAAAGTGCTGCCCCTTCGCCCATCAACCTGCTTGCAGGTGAAATCGGAGCCCCTCCTCCCAGGCCTGTCGAGGTTCCCTGAGCCCCAGTTCATGTCACAGTCCGTTGGGACCTGAGCGTCTCCTCCCACCGGCCCGGAGGAGGCAGAGGCCTGGCTGCAGAGCAGGGGACGAGGCCCTGGGCAGCATCTCCCACTTTATTTCATCCGCGAAACTCCAACATACCTGCTAGTGTCAAGCGCTTGCTGAAAAAGTAGGTTAACCTCTGTCTTTTATGAAGGCTGGGGCACCTTTAGACCCTTGAAGAGCATTCAGTGAAAGGATGGTGCTGCCCTGGCTGGGTGCTCAGCTGGGCGGGTGTCATCCCGTACACCAAACGTTGCGGGTTTGATTCCTGGTCAGGGCACATACCTAGGTTGTGAGTTCGATCTCCAGTTGGGGAAAGTTTGGGAGGCAGCTGATTGATGTTTCTCATATTGCTGTTTCTCTTTCTCTAAAATCAATAAAAAAATATGTCTTCAGGGAAGGATTAAAAAAATTTAAAAAAAAAACAGCTGGTCCCTCCTCTGAGGCCCAAGAGACCTAGAATGGGAGGTAGTTCCACTGCGTCCAGAGAGCTGCACGGACAGGAAACAGTTTCTCTCTAGAGGCATTTTGCCTAAAATGTGTCACTCTAGGAGGTTCCAGAGCCTGTTAAATAAATGTTTCCCTACAGATGATTTCATCATCTAGCACAGAGTTGCAGCTTACATTTGCCTCCCTTTCTGAACAAATGGCAGTGACAAATAGCCACATCAGGAAAAACACACAAAAAGAACCGCCCCATGACGCCCAGGACGGTGCAGCTGGGCCCGTGCAACTTGACGCCCGGCCAGCGGCGCGCTCACCGGCCGTCTGGCCATTTTTCTCAGCTGTAAACACAGTCCCTGGCGGATTTTTCCAGCTGACGGCAGGGCCAGGGCGGGGGAGCCCTGTAGTCAGCGTGGGACGCCCACGCCCTGGCCTCCCTGGAGTCACCACCTGCTGCTCCTCCCCCCGGGAGCAGGGGGACCATGAAGCAGCACTCCAAGGAGCCACTCAGATGGTGCTCCTGCCGCCCCAGATTCGTGGAGGAGACAAACGGGGTCGCGTGCTCTTAGTTGAAACAGTCTGTTTGTAGAGTCCTTGGTCACGCAGGCAGAATGCTTGTCTCATTCGGGCTTGCGGAGATGAGCGCCAGGAAATTGCAGAACTTGATTCTGGCCGGAGGGATGCGAGACTCATTCATGTAGCAGCTACCCTCTGAGCCCTTTCTGTGTGCGGTGGGGCAAGGAGACCTGGCTGCTGCCCTTGGAGGACATACCCTCTTGCAGGAGAGGCCGGACATGCACAGCGGCCATGAGATCCCAGCTCCGGAGGCAGGACTAGCAAAGGCAGAGCGAGCGCTCTTCTGCTTTGCGTGACCCTGGCCTGGTCCCAGGCAAATAGACCCCCCGCCTCCGGACAGGGTCTCCGGACAGCGCCGGGCTGGAGGGCCTCTGCTGAGAAGACTGCACGTGTTTATGCAGAAACAAAGCTCACACTTCGGGCCCTAGACCCTCCCGCCCAGAGAGAGAGACGGCTGGGTTTGAGCCTGGCGGATCCCCTGTTTCCTCCTTTTCCTGGAGTCCACGGCAGCCCTGGGACCCCTCCTGGGAGGCAGAATCTGCCCGCACCAGCTGCTTCCTCTTGCCTGTCCCTCAGCTTTCCACTGGCCACCGTGGGAGCAGCTGGTGGGGCGCAGCCCCTGGTTGCCACTGGGAGCGCGAGGTGGAGCATGGCGGCTGGTTGGAACGAAGGAGTGTGTCACTCTGTCCTGGTCTCCCAGGCACCGCCCGGCCCTCTCTCACCGGAGGTTTTTCCGCTGCTGGGAGGCCTTCGGGATTGGCAAAGTGGAGATGCCCAGGCACCTGCCGCTGATGGTATCTCAAGAGGACAGAATTAATTGGTTGGTTTGGGGTATGGTATAGGCAAGTATAGGCAGTGTCATCGGGTACTGTCCCGGAGTAAATGGGTAGAGGCTGTACCTTTAAGCCAGTTGAGGGGAGCATTAGAGGCACCAGGGAGTTTGGTTCAAGTCCTCCCAAAGGCCTGGGCCCCACCCTAGCAGCTGGAGTCACTCAGACCAGGAGAGCAGAGAACCCAGGAAAGAGCTGGTCTGCAAGGCGCGAGATCTGGGCCGGGGCCGCTCGGCCGCTTACGGGTCGGGTACCTTGGAGCTGAAGAGACGGAGGCCCACCTCCCAGGAACCCGGGACAGGCCACCCTGCTTCTCCGAGCCCTGGTTTCTTCCCACACAGAGTGAAGGAGTGGGACGGCATCCTAAAGTCCTTTCCGTTTTTCCCTATAACCTGGCCTCCCAACCCGCCCAGTTATTGCACCTGCTAAACCCCTTCGGCCGGCGACTGTGAGCGGCTCCTCCTGGTGAGAGGCCGTTGTGCACGCGTGACGCCAGGCAGACCTTCCACGGCCTCCAGGATGAGGCCTTATGAGCTGGGTGTGGAACTGGGGCCTTTCACCAAATGGGTGCGGCATCTGCGGTTCCCTAGGAAACGGGACCAAAGACAACAAACATAGAAGGCAGGAAACCCCCGGGCCTGAACAGCTTCAACGGACAAGCGAGACCTGGTGCTCAAGTTCAAGGCCACGGGAGGCGGGCCGGGACCTGGTAGGGGCCACGCCAGCCCCTTTCCCTGCTCCCCTCAGAGGGTGGTCCCAGAGCCTCCCGGAGGCACGTGCCTGGAACAAGCCAGATGTCACAGAGCAGAGCATTTCTGCTGTGAAAGGGATAGCGGCTTTGAATGAGGGAGCGGCAACTGCCTCCCCACCCACCCTCCAGAAGGGGGCGCTGTGCAGGATTCCAGGAGGGGCTTTCTCCCGGAGCCCTGGAGCCCTCCTGTCCGACTCCCATCCAACAAAATCCCATGTTGCCTAGCGAGGTCCGGCGATGGGCCATTTGTTTCCTGGGCCACCAGAGAGCGGGGCTTGCTCTGACTCGATCAGACTGTTTGGCCTGTTACAGCCAAAACCAGACCATTCACCGTCCCACCTGTAACAGTTTCCAAGTTCTGGGGACTTTCCCCCCATGCGTCTCAGTTCTGGGCTAGTTAAGCCCCAGATGCAAGAGGCTCCGGGGCCCAGAGGGTCTGGCGTTTCCCAGGGATGCTTGTACATTTCCTTAGGCCACTCTGGTGTTCGGGGACCCCGCTTAGGGCCCAGCACCTGATCACCCCCAATCTTAAGCTATGCAGAGGCCTATGGGGGGAATTCCTCAAACCAGCAGGGCCCGAGTGTCCCTTCCTGGGGGTGTCAGCCCCAGGTGGGGGTGTCCTGGGAGCAGCCCCCCAGGGAGCCCCGGGCCCAGCCTCTGCTTCTGTCTTCCAGGCGGGCCTGGCCTCCCCCGAGAACGCGGAGCAGCTCATCATCGCCCTGGAGCCCGAGGCCGCCTCCATCTACTGCCGGAAGCTGCGGCTGCACCAGATGATCGAGCTGAGCAGCAAGGCCGCGGTCAATGGGTACAGCTCCAGAGACACAGTAGGAGCTGGGTTTGCACAGGGTACCTCTGCTCTCTCTCTCCCCCTCCCTGCTCTCCCCTCCCGCCTGCATGTCTCTGGGCTGCTACTATGTACATGCACTCGGTGCTGTAATGAAGAATCAAGGTGCCGCCAGAGAGGTTGGCGTTAAGCACCCTGTGCTCAGCCCCCTCCCCCCGCCCCCCGGCCCCTCCCAGGGGCCTCGGCACACCTGGCAGTGGGTACCCTGGTTCGTCACCCACCCACGTGCCTTCGGAGGGGGGAGGGCGCTGCTCTCCGAAAACTCGAGGGGGCCCTGAGAGCAGTCCTTGGCCTTGCATTTTACTAAGCTCTTAATCTTTCTGGTCTGTTAACTGATTCTCAATCTAATCCCATTTGCCTGTTAATAATTCTTCCATTAAGACTGTTGACTTATTGCTGACTCACTCATTGGAGCTGCTTTGTGTGTGATGAGCTCATTATGTGTCTTGGCCATAAACCTGGCGAGAGTTTAAACTGCAGATGGAAAGGACTGATGCTTCCTGACCCACGGATGTTCACTTAGCTGTGGAAGAGTCACCTGCCTAGGGACACTCGGGGGACCCTCAGGAGCCTTTTCTCTTCCGTATTTTCCTGGGTGCAAGTCGGCCCCTCTCTTAGTCCCCAGAACTGTTTTCCCGGGTGTCCGTCCAGCGCTCTGTGGGTGTGTTCAGGGCCACAGAGTTCGCAGACACCTTAGGTCAGGGTCAAAGCCACCTCTGTGAGTTTGGGAGCTAATCAGCGTGCTGGGGCGCACAGCTCTGAGCTCTGTCCCCGGGGGAGAGCCCTGAGGACAAAACCCACCCATCACCCCCCTGGAAGGCCAGGCCCAGGAGGGGAGGGGTGGCATTAGCCAGGGCTGCCGCAGGCTGCTCCCCCTAGAGCCCTCTTCCCAAGTTTTCCATGGTCCCCACCCCGAGGCCCAGCCGAGGCCATCTCCACGGGCCTCTCCTGTTCCTCTTCACGGGGTCGCTGCACCAGGGCCTGTGCCCTGCACTTTCACCCAGGACTGGGGAATCTGTGAGCCTCAGCCTCAAGACGGTGGCACAAAGTTCCCTTGTCCCCGAGCTGCTGCCCCTGCCCGCCAGGCCCCGATGTGGGCACCTCGGATCTGAGTCACCCGGAATGTGGGGAGCAGGCTTCCCTTTAAATCCAGGGCTTGACCTGCCCTTGTGTAGCAGTGCTGGGCCCCAGCACAGGCTGAGGGCAGCCTTGCTGCAGACCAGGTCAGCTGGCACAAGATCTGGGTCGGGGCCGCTCGGCTGCTTACGGGTCAGGTACCTTGGAGCCTAAGAGACTGAGAGGCCCACCTCCCAGGAACCCAGGTCAGGCCACCCTGCTTCTCCGAGCCCTGGTTTCTTCCCACACAGAGTGAAGGAGTGGGATGGCGCTGTTTAAAACACACCGAATGACAAGCTTATGTAAATCTCCACCTTCATTGTTTTAATGGAAAAGACCGGGAGGAACTGGGCTTCTCCTCTCACTTGCTGATTCTCCCTTAGTTGTTCATAAAAAGAAATCCAGGAGAATTAGCTAATTCTAGCGCCGCTCTTCCCACCATTTCCCCTAACCTGAGGGGAAAGCTGTTTGGAATGCTTTCCTCCGGGAGCTCAGCCTGGCTTCCTCTCCTCGCACGCGTCCTGTGTCCAGTGCCTGTGGACTTGGCTGTGGTCCCATGTGCTCAGAGGGTCTGTAGGGTTTTTAAATCCCCAAGTGGTTGGCCAGCGCCCCTCCGAGGGGCAGGAGGCAGGGCTCTGTCTCAGCCTCGGGCTGCAGTTGGGACCTCTCTCCCAGGGGGACGGTGCTGTCGGAGGCCTGGCAGAGCACTTAGCAGGAGTACCCGGCGGGTGGGGTGCCTGAGACACCTCCCCCGGCCGCCCCTGCTGGGGGCTCCTTCAGGTGGAGCCGGAGGACCCCGTGGGGGAGAACGGAGCCAGCACTCTGCCCCCCCGCACTGCAGGGTTTGCTGAGGATATTTTATTTTACACCAGGAGGATTTAATGAGCGCCGTAAAGGGCACATTTTTCACAAAATGGGCTTAATTTGCCTGAAAAATAGGATACATTTTTTGAGAGCTCAGAACATGTCTTATTAGCTTCGCTTGGCTGTTTTTTATGAATGCCATTTCATTAGTCATCCAGGTTGTTTTAGGAAACCAAATGCCCACAAAAGATCTGCAATAGAAATTCACCTGGAGCCGGTGCTGGGAGCAGGAGAGAGGCCTGCGTGTGGGTCCCTTCTAGGCCTACAGGAACGCCTTTTATTTATTAAATAATTTTTATTGCCCTGCCGGTTTGGCTTAGTGGATAGAGTGTCGGCCCCAGGACTGAAGGGTCTCGGGTTCGATTTCAGTCAAGGGCTTTTACCTCCGTTGCAGGTTCGATCCCTGGCCCTGGTCGGGGCCGTGCGGGAGGCAGCCAACCAATGTGTCTCTTCTCACATTGATGTTTCTCTTTTTCTCTGTCTCTCCTGCTTCCTTCCACTTTCTCTAAAAATCAATGGAAAAATATCCTTGGGTGAGAATTAACAAAACAAAGAAAGATTTTTTTTATTGCTTTTTAGCAGCGGTTCTCAACCTGTGGGTCGTGACCCCTTTGGGGGTCGAACGACCCTTTCACAGGGGTCGCCTAAGACCATCGGAAAACACATATATAATTACATATTGCTTTTGTGATTAATCACTATGCTTTAATTATGTTCAATTTGTAACAATGAAATTGGGGGTCACCACAACATGAGGAACTGTATTAAAGGGTCGCGGCATTAGGGAGGTTGAGAACCACTGCTTTTTAGAGAGATTGATGTGAGTGTGAAACATCCATTGGCTGCCTCCTGCATGCCCCCTAGTGGGGATTGAGCTCTCAACCTGGGCATGTGCCCTAACCAGGAATTGGACTAGGAATCGAACCAGCAACTTTTCTGTGCACCTAACGACGCCCAACCACTGAGCCAAACCAGCCTGCAGGGACTCTCACCGGGACAGCCTCTCCACCATAAAGCAGGGCCCGAGGAACTCGGAGCTGGCCCAGTGCTTGCCATCCCAACCCCCAGAGATGTTGTTTTGCAAACACTGCTCCTTGCTGAGAGGCTAGAGGGTCAAGGGTCCTTTGTTGGATAAACAGCTGCAGACAGATACAAAGTCTGCAACACCCGCCCAGGGACTAAAGAATGCACAGCAGCAGAGCTGTGGGCAGAGCCTTGATCTGTAAAATAGGTGCTCGCTCTCCATGGCGTGTGGTAGTGATGGTTTGGTGGGCACCGGGTCTCAGGCTTGGTGCTCACCTTCATTGTCACCTACTGTGAGCAGGTGTCACACTGGCTGCTTAGGACAAATCAGAGAGCCAGTCCCTGCTCTGCCTGTGAGGAACTTAGGCCACGTATTATTATACCCACTTTATGGACGAGGAAACTGAGGCCCGGGGTGGGGGGTTGAGTTGCCCAAATTCCCACCGTGGCTGTGCCCGGCTGCCTCCCAGGTACCCTCTCCCAGCACCTTTCCTGGTTCTTCACATTTGTATTCTGCTTTTTCAGACTTCACTGTAAACTGTTAAATCTCAAAGGCATGAGGGTCCCTGGATGGAGGGTTAATGTGGGGCTGCAAGACAGTGTGGGAACTGGTCTCCTAACCTCCCTGACCTGGTTTCCTCACCTTAACGTAGGGCCATGATTTATGCCCTGTCCACCTCACAGCGCTGTGGGGAGGCCAGTGGGAGGCCAAATCCCCACGCATGGTGTCACCGCCAGGTTGTCCTGCAGGGCTAGGAAACTGGTGCCTGGCTTTGCCATTTTCAGATGCGCCACCCTGCAGGGCTAGGAAACTGGTGCCTGGCTTTGCCATTTTCAGATGCGCCACCTTGTGGCCAAAGAGGGTATTGGCTTCAACAAGGTCAGGAAATGGCTCCTATACAATTGATCCAGGATCCTGATCAGCACCCCACTCTCCTTGTATCAGGATGCCTTGGTGTGACATTGTTTAAGTGCACTGACGGCTGCTTGGCAGACAGCTGCCTCCCGGGTACAGCAAAGCCAGGAAATTGGTCGATTTTATTAACCCATCCCCCTGAAAGTCACTGGAGGAAGGGCTCTCGTCGAGGTGAGCTTTCCAGCAGGGCCCAGGCAGAGTCTGCCCCACCGATGGGGCGGTGAAGGCCGGGGCGATAGCTGCTCGTCCTGGGAGAACTATTTTGGAATTCCCGGGTGGCATTCCTGTAATTGTTTGGTCACGGTTCACTGAGTGTTCTGTCCCTGACCTGCTCACGCTGCTGCCTCCACTGACTGCAGATGACGGCCGCTCTGCCCTGCTTTCTCACCCGCCATCATTTTCTTTCTGTCGGCCACTAGCTAAGGAACACGTACGGCGCAATCGGCAGAGCCGGACCTTTTTGGTGGAGAATGTCATAGGCGAGATCTGGTCCGAGCTGGAGGAAGGTAGCGTCCTTGAATGTCCTTTGCCTTTGCTGGATTTTGTGTGCATGTGTGTGCGTGCGTGTGTGTGCGTGTGCGTGCGTGCGTGCGTGCGTGTGTGTGCTGCTGCTGCTGCTGGCAAAACTGCATTCCTACTTGTTCCTTTTGCACTTTTGGAGAATGTTCAAAATCACTCGGTTTTAAAGACTTCTCCCCCAGGGAGAGCTCTTTGTGGAGCTGTGGTTTTGCATGTGTTAAAGCCATCTAGACTCTTCAGAGGAAAGGCAGGGACTGGGACTCACTGGTTCTAGGATGGACAAGTCCTCAGTTAAACAGCCGGCCACTTGCTGGTGCTATTCACTTGGCAGGAGGTTGTCCGCTGGGTCGTGCCAGGTATGCAGCAGCGCGTGGCACGGATGCTGTAGTTTTAAAGATCCACGCACCTGGGCTCTTGATCGTCCATGCTAACCGTCGCTCCTAGCAGACATCATTGCCTTCTCTTTAGTCATGAATAACCCGCTGCACCACTAATTAGCAAACCCATTGCACTAATGAGAAGGGTGGGGTACCCCGTCATCGCCCGCCAGCCCGTTTCAGGACGGGTTGACAAGCGGTCTATGTGAAGGATGGCTGGTGTTTTTTTTTTGCCAGGTGACAAGTATGTGGTTGTGGACAGTGGCGGTGGCACCGTAGACCTGACCGTCCATCAGATACGGTTACCAGAGGGACACCTTAAGGAACTGTATAAAGCCACAGGTGAGCGCTGCACGGCGGATGTTCTCCTACCTGAGCCGGGCCACTCCTTTCCGACTTCTCTCAGCTTGTCATTGTCTCGGTGCCGCCAGCACGTGGGACAGTCGGCAGGAGAAGGCACTGAGGCTTTTTTTTAAAGATAAGTTTTCATAATTTCTTTCTTAAGAAAAAAATTTTTTTAATTGATTTTAGAGAAAAAGGAGAGGGGGAGAGAGATAGAAACATTAATGATGAGAGAGAATCATTGATCGGCTGCCTCCTGCACACCCCACACTGGGGATCAAGCCTGCAACCTGGGCATGGGCCCTGACCGGGAATCGAACCGTAACCTCCTGGTTCAGAGGTCGATGCTCAACCACTGAGCCACGCCGGCCAGGCGGCTCCGAGGCTTATTGAACATTGGAAAGCAAAAGCGCAGCTCCATGTCCTTTAAAACACAAACCTCCATCCCTGGGGTTTTGGCATCCAGGGAGCCTGTCTCTGATCCTGGCCGAGAAAGTGGCTCCTGGAGGTTATGGAAGATGTGACAGCAGCAGGAAGACACGTGTGGCTCGGGGCTATGGCTAAGCCTTCTGGGAGGCCCCAGGACCCCTGGTCGGGGAGGTGGTGATGAGGAGTGAGTAGATCCAGGGGCGAAGCGAGGCCTGCCTGCTCCCGATCCTGTCCTGGGTGTCTGCGGGGGAGGAGGAAACCATGATACTCCTAGTGACTTAAATGTATTGCTTTTATTTAAAGTGTAACTGACTGCAAACAGGTTACTGCCGAGTGGTGTCTGGAGGAAAGCTTCCCCATGAGGAGTGAGAAGAACCCTAGTGAGGTCCTAGCTGTGCTCCATTGTGTGTTTGGGAGAAGAGCAGGGTGGCCTCAGAGTCGGGGCCCCGTTCTCCGCGTTTCTAACACGGCGACTCCGTTTCGTTCTTGGCGCAGGGGGACCCTATGGATCCTTAGGAGTCGATTACGAGTTTGAAAAGCTCCTGTGTAAGATATTCGGAGAGGACTTCATCGAGCAATTCAAAATCAAGCGCCCCGCCGCCTGGGTGGACTTGATGATTGCGTTCGAGTCCCGCAAAAGGGCGGCCGCCCCGGACCGCACCAACCCGCTGAACATCACCCTGCCCTTCTCCTTCATCGATTACTACAAGAAGTTCCGAGGGCACAGCGTGGAGCATGCCTTGCGGAAGAGCAAGTGAGTTGGACTTGCCTTTGGCCTGGGGCATCCGGCAGTGGAGCCGAGAGAAACTCCTCATGGCTTGGCTGCCCTCACTCATAGTTCAGGAGGAAGACAGGGCTACTGCTGGGTTCTCTCTTTCCATTTGCACAATCTCTGTGTAAAGAACTATTGATTTCATAGCCTCCTCCAAATGATTGTTCCCCTTCGTAGGGTGCCGGGGGGAGTGCCATGAAGAACGCACATCTGATGCATGTGTAACCATGGCGGTTCCATCCTCAGTGACGCTCCAATTGTCCCGTCTTGGCCAATGGGAGCCCCTTCAGGTTGGCTCCTGAGTCCCGTTGCCTTGGCCTTTGCGGTTTATTTCCTTCTCCCTTTTAATGTTTTTATTGATTTCAGAGAAAAAGGGAAAGGGAGAGAGAGATAGAAACAACATTGATGAGAGAGAATCATTGACCGGTGGCCTCCTGCACGCCCCACACTGGGGATCGAGCCCGCAACCTGGGCATGTGCCCTGAACAGGAATCGAACCGTGACCTCATAGGTCGACGCTCAACCAGGGAGCCGCGCTGGCCAGGCCCTTTGTGGTCTCTAACAGTCTCCGCCTGTGTCAGTGAGGTGCCCCTGACTCACCTTGTACGTTCCCCACCACACCTGCAATCGGCTGCTGAGACGCCCTGGCTCCTTTCAGGGGAAACGAAGCGGACTTGACTCCAGGTTGCTGTGCCCTGGGAGCAGGGTCCTCGCCAGACCCTCCCAGGTTGCTGTGCCCTGGGAGCAGGGTCCTCACCAGACCCTCCCAGGCTGCCATTCTCTCTGCCCTGGCCCCTGCAGAAGGCACCTGCGTCTGGTTGTCTCCCATGTCCTGCCCGCACAGTTCCGGGGCCTCCCTCGCTGCGGAGACTGGCTGCGGCCAGCCCGTGGGTCACCCCACACCATACACGCTGTCCTCCGGCCCAGGCCCTGGGAAGGATTCCTGGTCCGTGAGACAGGGCGGCATCTAGAACGTGCTGCTGGAGGAGCGGGAGGTGCTATGCTGCCGGGACGGAGCCACCGTTAGCTCGGCCCCTTTGACCTTGAGAGCAGGCGGGTGCGCACTGCACTCCGCAGTCCCTGGCGTTCCTTTCACACTAGGAAGTTTCCAAAGTGTTTTCCCAGACGAGGTTTTTAACTTGATTTTCACAACAACCCTGTGAGGGAGGTAAGGCAAATGGTATTCGCCTTGATTTGCAGACGAAAAGCCGGGGCTCAGAGAAAATGCTTGCCCGAGGTCCCGTGGCTACTGAGTGGTGGGGCCAGGCTGGAGCCCAGCAGCCTGACTCCCTGTCCAGTGCTCCTGCTGCTGCACTGCCCCTTCGATAGGGACAGTGAGGGGCACCGGCAGGAGTAGGCCTCTCCCTGTCCTGGGACAGGTGCCTGCACCGAGCACACAGGTGGCCTTAGGCAGCAGCACGGCGAGCCACTAATGGACTCGCATCCAACGATCGTTGCATCGAAGTGCGGTCATCCAAACGAGAGCGATGCAATCCCTTTACCTCCTTGTCCTTCGCACTTGACATCGGCTCCCACTTCCCTGGGGAAGGGGGCCACGTGGAGGCAAAGAGAAACAGAAGAGGCTGAGTCTTAGCTTGGAGCGTCCAGGGGCTCAGGCCTGGCAGGGGAGGGTATTTCCAAGGACCTAACCCCCCGCCCCCCTGCCCCGCTGCTTGGAGCTGACAGCTGTGCTGCCAGGGCCGTGTCTGCCTGTGGGTGTAGTTTGTCCGCTCACCACTGTCCCTTTCTGTGCCACACCCCACAGCGTGGATTTTGTGAAGTGGTCCTCCCAGGGGATGCTGAGGATGAGCCCCGATGCCATGAACGCCCTTTTCAAGCCAACCATCGACAGCATCATCGAGCATCTGCGTGAGTATCAGCCGGGGCTCGGCGGCTCGGGAAGAGCCGTGAACGGGACTGACTTTTCCAGCATCACCGACCAGGCATGTGAAGTCAGGTTGGCAGCCACAGGCTCTCAGGGACCGGAAGCAGCCAAGCACCATCCTCACCCCCCTTTCCCTTTGGCTCCCCAGACAGTGAGCTGGGGGCTGTGTGGCAGAATGACCTCCAGCCACGGGCCCTGGGCAATGTGGTCTTGGCTTTCTGTGGAAAGATCAGGAACCACAGCCCTGGCTGGGAGAAGTCACTGAGTGTGAGTCAGAGAAAGGTCCCCAGGAGGGGAGGCGGCGGCTGGTCGTGCTGCTCTCTGCTGCCTCATGGCCTCCCCCAGGGCCACACGGGAGACTCACCGGGGACCCTTTTCAGTATCTAAGCCCCCCCCCCCACTCCCTACCCCCCACCTACCAAATCACAACCCCTACGAAAACCAAAGAATAATGTTTGTTTATTTACTTAATATTCTTCTTGCTTTTTAGATAGAGGGAAAGGGAGAGGGAGAGAGGAACATCAATGCAAGACATCAATCCGTTGCCTCCTGCAGAACCCCTACCGGGGATCGAACCTACAACCCAGGCAGGTTCCCTGACCAGGAATCAAAGGAGCAGCCTTTCGGTGCCTGGGACAACTCCCAGCTGAGCCGCACCAGCCAGGGCCCACAGAGTAACATTATAAGCGCCTGCCTTGCCTCCCTTAGCAGAGCCACAGGTTTGTGAGGGTTAGGAGTAGCCTTTAGGCTTCGCACATGACTACTTTACACGATCACCCTCTCTGCTAAAATGGTGTCTACTTAGCAGTAGCTTTGGCTGATGCTCCGAGCATAGTGGTGTGCAAACCCCCTCTCTCTAAAGGACCAGCTCTCCACAAATTCTGTTCACACCGAGCCTGTCCTCCAGGTGGCTGTGTCCACGCCCCACATGCTCAGGCCACCCCGTCCCTGCGCTGCTGGCTCTGGTGACAGGACGGTGTCCTTCCCTCTCCCCTCGCAGGGGACCTGTTCCAGAAGCCCGAGGTGTCCACGGTCAAGTTCCTCTTCCTGGTGGGCGGCTTCGCGGAGGCGCCCCTCCTGCAGCAGGCGGTCCAGGCCGCCTTCGGGGACAAGTGCCGCATCATCATCCCCCAGGACGTGGGCCTCACCATCCTCAAGGGCGCCGTGCTCTTCGGCCTGGACCCCGCCGTCATCAAGGTGCGCCGGTCCCCGCTCACCTACGGGGTGGGCGTGCTCAACCGCTACGTGGAGGGCAAGCACCCGCCCGAGAAGCTGCTGGTGAAGGACGGCACCCGCTGGTGCACCGACGTCTTCGACAAGTTCATCGCCGCCGACCAGTCCGTGGCGCTGGGCGAGCTGGTCAAGCGCAGCTACACGCCCGCCAAGCCCTCCCAGCTCGTCATCGTCATCAACGTGTACAGCTCCGAGCGCGACAACGTGAGCTTCATCACCGACCCCGGGGTGCGCAAGTGCGGCACGCTCCGCCTGGACCTCACGGGCACCGGCGGCACCGCGCCCGCCCGGAGGGAGATCCAGACCCTCATGCAGTTCGGGGACACCGAGATCAAGGCCATGGCCATCGACGTCGCCACCTCGAAGAGCGTCAAGGTGGGGATCGACTTCTTGAATTACTGACGGGCCCTCCCGGCGGCCTGTCCCCTCGGACTCAGCCCACCTGCATCTGCCGACCTCAACCCTGACTGTCCTTTCCCTGCCCTCGCCCCTTGACACGGCGCACCCGAGCTGCAGCAGGGCCGATGAGACTAGAGCTGGAAATACCAGGGCCAGAAGCACGGAGGGGTTTCTGAGGGCGCACCGGCGTCGGGAAATTCAGATTGAGGTTTGGGGGTAAGAAACCCAAGGGAGAGCAGCTGGTTGCATGGGCCCCCCTGGCGGAACACCCACCCGGCGAGGGAGCCGGGACATCTCTGCACCCGGAGGAGCTCACTCTCAACACCTCTCCGTCCAGCAGAACCCAGGATGCTCTGTGGCTGTCCTTCTGGAGCCGAAAGGCGAGCGCTGAGCAAGACGAGATTCTCCATCTTCCTGAGGCTTTTCCTTTCGCCTTTTTTTGGCGGCAGTTGCTGTAAAGTGCCCACCACCCCCCCCCCCCATCTGCAGTTCGTTGCTTTTCCTGGTCATGCGCTTGAGAGTGGAGATTCGGTGGGAAGCTGGAGCGCGTTTCACGGGTGGGAGAAGACTGCCTACACTGGCCGCTATTTTAGGTTCGCGTTTAAATTCCAAATTGGTTCCGTGGAGAATCACTGTGGCTGGGCTGATCCCTGGGGATGGGTGTGAGGGGGAGAGCTGACACCTCAGCGTTCAGCAGGTAGAAACTCGCTGCGATGGAAACGAACGTTAAAGAGCTCCCGGCACGTCCCCTATGCCGTTTCACTTCTGGCGTCAGAAGGCCAAGTCCCCACTTCCGAATTCATCAGTGATTCCAGGACGTCCGAGTGAGGAAATGAGGTTGCCCAGAGTCCGGAACAGCTCCTCGTCTTGAAAACATATTTCAAATGAACTCCGTCCTCCCAGCTCACACTCCTCCCCCTAAAGGGTTTGGCCATTTATTCCTACATTTTCAAAGGGTTAGAAATGTTTGATTGAAGTCATCAGTTTTAAAGTCCGTCCAAAAGGAATCCCTAGGTCTACGCTGGATGGGCCAAGCCAGGTGTTCTCCAAAGCCGCTCTGTGAGTCTCCTGCATGAGGGCGCTGGTTAAACGCAGGTTCCTGGAAATGTCCAATTGCTACCGTGTACACCTGGAACTGTTACAACTGGTATAATACTGTGCACCAGCTAGACGTAAAGGAAAAAGAAAAAACAGTTTCCTGGATCCTATCCCTTTTATGCACTGAAGTCCCGTCTTGGCGAGGCGACCAGGGCTGCGATTTCAGTAGACGCAGCGGGGACTGTGGTTTAGCCGTGTGTGAGGGCTCCTCACTAGGATCTTGTCGGAAGCTGACACGCAGACCAGAGCTGCTGCCCGGCCTTCCCGTCGGTCTGGGCTCCCCTCGGGACAGGTTTTGCAGGAAGAGCAGCCGTCCCACACTTCCCCTCTGGTGAGTGGGGCTGGGGCCCCACCCGGCTTGAGGAGGCACTTTTGACCCTCACAGGAGGGGCCTGGGGAGGAAGAAGGCGCCTAAGAAAGGGACTGCTGAGGAACCAGCGGTGGGGCCTGCGCTCGGGACCAGTTGAGAAAGAACCGGGTCTGATCACAGCCCACCCGGATCTGTTCAGCGCCGTCTCTCCCGCCAGCTGGAGCCCTACCGGGGAGCATGCGTAACGCACGGAGGGAGGCTGAGCGAACCCACTTCCATGCCCATTGGATTCTCACACCCATCCTCAGCCGATACACACATGCCCATTGGATTCTCACACCCATCCTCAGCCGATACACAGATGTGAACGAGCATTTTCGTGTCATTTTAACATGTCTCCCTCCTCACCTCTCCTGCCGCAGAATTCCCTAGTAGAGCACGCAACACCACGGACCACGACTAGGGGGTGCTAGTCACGCAACCACCACGGGCCGCGCTGGTGCGGCAGAGGTGCTGCTGGTGTCCCCGCTGCCTGCTCTGCTTCCCCAGCACCTGCTCCGGGTCTCCGGTGTGACCAGCCATCCTCTACACACAGGACCTTTCAACTTCGTTATAAGTAATATAATTTTATGTACAGACAGTATCAGAATATTGTACAGATTCTTTATTTCTACAATGTGCTTTTTTTTGTTTAAAAAAAAAAGGAAAATGCTTTTTGCATTTTGTTGATGACATCGCTGCCTTTAACTTCCCCTGGTTTCCTTTCTTCCCTGCGCTGACCACTCCTCAGTTTGTACCGATACTACCCTAGGGACTGTGTACGCAAGACCGAGCAACAGACAGAGGTGCCTGGGGTCCGAATATGCGGAGCAGATGGGCCTCCTGGTCAGCAGCTTCATCAGACTCGTCTACACACGCGTCCTTCCCAAAGGGTCACAGTTTACAGTTAAGGGAGCATAATGATGTGTCGGTTCTCCTGTCCAGTCTCCGAGCTGAACGCTGGGTTCCGTAAGCAGTGGCTCTGCAGGAAACGCTCTGCGGCCCTGCAGGTTGCCCCGCTCTCCTGGTGGGACAGAGCAGTCCCTCTGGGGGCCAAGTGGGGTCCACGGGCGTGAGGTGCTCAGGTCGCCAGGGTCAAAGGAGGCCTCGGTGGGAGCAGATCCAGCTCTTCCACTTGACATGGTCAAGTCCCCTTCTTTCTGGCTAAGAAAGGCCTTTCCCGCCTTGCATTAAGGACATCTCCTTGTCTATTTCTCTTACTATCAGCCGGTTGAAACGGGAAGTGTGGGCAAATAGAGGGTGGAGAAGGAGTGGTCCTTTTACTGGACTTGCTTCTGGCCCCAGAGATGCAGTCCCAAGAGTGGAACTCCTTAGAAGGCATCCCCCAAACCCATCCCTGCTCCCCTTTACCCCGAGGAAATATTTGCAAGTAAGCGGAGTGGGTGGGCAAGTACACTCGGACACGTTTTCTAACCTTAGGACGTTGCTGCAAGGCCTGTTGTCTTGACACACCACTCAGCTGTCCCTGGCGTGTGATCCGATGTTCACTTTCCTGGAAGCAGAACGGTCAAAGGGTTTCCTTTGTACCTGCCCTTTCCGCACACAGCAGGCGTTCGTCTGTGCTCAAGGGCAGACAAGTGACAGACAGACAAGAGAGGAAGGAGGAGGAGCCCTGCGAGCATGTGTGCGTAGCGGTGGCCAAGATGCGTCCAGTTCACAGAGCCTGCCCTCCCCCTAGAATGATATTTAGATCCCGTTTAGCTTTTAGCGTCCAGGTCTGGTTAACTGCCAGGGTGGCCCAGAATCGCATGCACCAATATACCCAGGAGTCAAAATGCAATATTAGTCGGCGATCGAACTTCACATTGTAGAGACAAAATAGCTGTGATTAAGCCGCATACGTACGCCGGGAAATGGCCTAACCGGATGACTAGTATAAAGGTTGTTGGCCGTAATGCTATACCTCTCGTCTGCTTGGAATAAGGAACTCGATTCTCAAATGGGTCTTGTTCAAGCCTCACAGAACTTTGTGGCAACTCACGACTCGACAAGGTTGTATCTGCAAACTCTGTCTTCACAGATTCTAATAAAGCAAAGCTCTGGATTTCGCGTGGCCCAGACTCTTTTCCCCCCGATTCTGAATGTGTAAATGGAAGTTTCGATCCATCACTACCGACCTCCCCCTCCCCATCTCAGGTGGAGGGAGATTTTCAGGTGCGTCCTTAGGTGTGGCCAGCTTCATTAACTTTCCTTCCAACAGGAGGGGCCCCTCTGCTCGCTGGGAAGGAAGGCTCCATTGAGGTCTCTAGCCCCTTTCCCTCCAAGCGGGAGGGAAGGCAGATAAACCAGCGTGGCCACAGGCAACTCCGTGGCAATGGCTCAAGGTCAGGCTCCGGTGCCTGGGCCTCTGGCGTCCTAGCGGACACACCACACTGGCTGCTGCAGGGGAGCCGGGGTGTGTCCCTGGCTCCATGTCTGGGTCGCCCTCCAACCCTCCAGAGTTGGCTCCAGAAGCTGCTGGGTCCTGTGGGTTGGGGGAGGCTGGGAAGTGCAGTAGACAGACAAGCACACGAGTGTTGGACAAGTGCTCAGGCGGCCAGGCCTCCACTGCCTTCTAGGGAGCGGCTGGGGCCAGCAGGCTGAAGGCCACGCATCCCCTCCGAGTCGCCAGCGGGCCTCTTGTCAATCCAACGCAATGAAGGCTCAGGTCCCCACCCCCCCAGTGCCCACAAGACCAGGCCGGTTAGAGGGACTGTGGCCCCCCATTTTGGTGCATTGCCCCTACTCCCTGCTGCCTGTTCAGGCTACCTGGACACCCACCTTTGCCAACAGACCAAAGGCGGGGGCGGGGGGGCGGAGCCCAAGGGAAACACCTGTATTTGAAGGCCGCCAGGATGGGCCCCCTCTCCTGCCCAGGCTGCTTCCTGCCCGGCCAGTTACCCACCGGGTGCGGACTTGGGGCCCCACCGGGCCCAGGGAGGGAGACCCTCTTCCTCGCACCAGGCCCTCCAGCCCCAACGCAGGCCGCCCAGTGGTCTGCCCGGTGGTCGCATCACTGGAAGGCGGTTTGACCTGGATCCCTTCGCGTGCCCCTCCCCCCCAACTCCAAAACCCGGGGAGCCTGGCTGGGGGAGGCCGGGAAGGAGGTCCGCTTTGGAGACCAGGCATTTGTGGGGCTACTGAGCGGGGCGCAGCGGCAAGCGCCCCCACATTCACTCGGCTCACCCGCCTCCCTGGCACCGATGTGGGGCTGCGGGAGGGTGAGGGCGGGGGGAGGAGCAGGCTGAGGAGCCCGACCGTCACGCTCCCCCTCCCCCCTCCCTAGCGGGTGAGCGCACAAAGGCCTGGAGGCGGGGCCGAGGCCACGCGTGTGCAGGAGGCTCCGGGCCTCCCAGGTGGGCGACTCGGGAGGGGCTCCGAAACGGGAGGAGCGGGAGGTGGGCTCCGGTGTCCCAGCGTTCAGCCCCCGACCCCCTCGCACATCTCCCCTCCGAGCTCCTCCCTGCCCCCTCCTCCAGGCAGGCCTCCCAGCCCACCACCTTCCGCGCTGGGCGCTGCTCCCACCCCAGCGGCTTACTTTTGGGCACCAGAACCCTGCCCCTCGGAGTTTAGAGATCTTCCCTCACCCTCCCTGGATGCAACAGCCCTCACACAATTATTCAGCCTCTGTGTGCCCACCCACCCTCTGCCCAATGGGGACCCCTTAGCGTGGCTGTGAGCATTTTACCAGAATGCAGCCCGCGGTCCCCTAGCAAGCGGCCTGTAAATGTCTGAACGGTTTAGATTAGGTTCCCATCCTTGCCCACTAAACCTGACCCCGCGACCCTCCCCTCACGCCCTGAGGCCCCGTGTCCCAGTGGGAGGGCATCCCCTTTTTTTAACATGTTTTTTCCCATTGATTTTAGACGGAGTGGCAGGGAGGGGAGAGTCAGAGAGGGAGGAACATCCATGTGAGGGAGAGACATGGATTACTTGCCTCCAACATGCACCCCAACTGGAGTCGGGCATCCCACCTGCCACCACGGTAGGTGCCCCACCTCCCACGGGAACGAACCCAGGATCCTTCAGTCCGAGGGGCCCATGCTCCAACCACTGAGCCAAACCGGCCAGGGAGGGAGGGCATCCCTTTTAAGAGATGACCTGGCTTGGCAGGTGGGCCTGGCAGCATCCACTCGCGCTGCTGGACCTGCCCATCTCAGAGGGGCCGGCCGGCCATCCCTGCACCCACAGGAACTGATGCTCAGGGTCCCCACCTCCCTCCCTCACCCACCCTGGACGCCACGCCAGCCTCTGGGGATTTCCGACCCCTTCAGCCAGAGCTTGCTCTGCTGCTCTGCTGTGGGAACAACGCCCTGTGATTTGCAGGATGTTGAGCAGCATCCTGGATACCAGTAGCACCCCATCCCCCAGTCATGACAACCCCAAATGTCTCCAGACCTTGCCAGGTGTCCTGAGGGGGTGGGGGGTGGGGACCTGATTCCCCCCGATGAAGAAAGGCTGTGGGGTGAGTGCGCCTCACCCTGCCCCCCTAAGGTCCTCCAGCAGGGACACTGGTGGGTGGAGGTCTGTACACCTGTTATCTGAGTTCACGTCCGAGTCCTGGTTACGTTGGCGGAGCTGCCTCTCCTTCCCCGCCCCCTGGCAAGCTCACTCTACGCCCAAGGCTCCAGCTCCCTCGACGTGAGTTCTTAATGCAGGGGCGTTGGGTGCGAATTCCATCCCGTCTTCCCTTTGTTAGCCGAGTGCAACGCCATGGACCCGCCCCAGGTCTTCATGAGGCAGCTGCCCGTCACCCCAGGCTACAGTGGTAAGTGGTGGCGTGTCCTGCAGAGACGGGCCTGGCACGAGAGCCAGAGTCCTGGTTCCTGGCCCAGCTCTGGCCCATTGTCCGTGTGTGTCTGGCCGACGGGGCCAGTACAAGTGCTTGGGCTTTTAAGATACGTGGTAAGAGCGCCCCGTTGCTGACAGTGGCTGATCACTGGGCTCTGATAAGTGAGAGCTACAACTTAGGCCAAATCTCCCAGGACGGGACCCGGTGTGCAGGGAGCACTGAGCTAACGTCTGGACCAAGCTGGACACAGTGCTGAGGCCCTGGCCTCCTCCCCAGCTGGGCTCTCTGGAGTTTTCCGATGGACTGTGCCTACGGTCCCGTTCCTCCTCGTGTCCTCGTGAGGGACGGTGACCGGCTGCCCAGAACGGCCCCGCTTTTAACACAGACAGTCCTGTGTTCCAGGAAATGCCTTGGCACCTGGACAATTGGTCACCCCACCTCTCACAGCAGCCCAGCTTGTCTGAATGGCCT